CCAAGATTCCTCCTCCTCGGAGCCTCCTAGTTTAATTGAGCACTCACTTGTCTTATTCCGTCTTCCAAGGTGCAACGTTTTGTAAGGGTTAAATTCCATCTGGCACTGATCTGCCTATTTGACCAATCTCTCTATATCCTATTGTAACCTAAGACGTCATTAGCAACCACTTGGCCAATCTTCGTGTCATTCGCAAACTTGCGTATCATAACCCCACGTTCTCAACTATATCATGTATGAATATCACAAACAATAGGGGACCCAGCACCGGTACACTGCTGCCCACCAGGCTCCAGTCACACAAACAGCCTCTATCACTACCCTGTGTCTCCTGTCACCAAACATGAATATCAAAATATTCTCTGCTCCATAAAACTAGACAAACAATGCCAGAGTTTTATATTTGATGCCTTGAGATAGGAAGGTAAAACAGGAAGGCATGATACCAATTATGTAGGCTGACCTTGCTAAATGGTACTGAAGGAATGTTGCAATACCTAAGGTGGTTGAGGTAGAAAGTGGACTTCATTGTGTCTGTTTGAGATCAAAACAGATGTAAGAAGAGGAATAATGTGCTGTGCCCAAAGCACACCTAAAGACATCTGACATGGTAGGAGGGTTGACCATTTCTTAGCAGGAAGCATTTTTCAAGGTATTGGCCAGCTGGTCAAAATTGGCATTTGGACACAGAGCAACCTGCATTTATATACCTTCATAGAGTCATACAGCACGGAAGCAGATCCTTCAGTTCAACTTCTCCATGCTGACTAGGTATCCCAAACACAACTGGTCCCATTGCCTGCATTTGGTCCAAATCCCCCTCAACCATTCCTATTCGTGTACCTGTCAAAATGTCTTTTAAATGTTGTAATTGTATCCACCTCTATCTCTTCCTCTGGCAGCTCATTCCATACATTCACCACCCTTTGTGTGAAAAAGCTGCCGCTCAGGACCCTCTTAAATCTTTCCCCTTTCACTTTAAACCTATGACCTCTGGTTTTGGACTCCCCTACGCTTGGGGAAAAAAGCCTTAGCTTTCACCTAATCTATGCCCCTTATAACCTTCTATAAGGTCACCGCTCGGCCTCACGCTTCTCTAATTTCATCCAGCTCCACAACCCTCCAAGGCTTCTGCATTCATCTCATTTTTGTGCATCGCCAATTTTAATAATTTCATCACTGGTGGCTATGCTTTCAGTTATATAAGACCTAAGCTTTGGAATTCCCTCCTTATGCCTCTGTCACTTTATCCCATTTTTCACCTTCAGGATAATATTTAAAACCCACCTGTTTGACTAAGGATCTGGCTTAATGTCTCATTATATGGCTTGGTGTTATATTTATTTTATTAACACCCTGTGAAGGTCCTTGGGATATTTTATTACATAAAGGGTGCTATATAAATATAAGTTTGAAATAAATACCTGGACTTCAAAAAAGTTAATTCATTGATAATGTTGCATTAATAATGAGCATTTTAAGAGTATTTCCTCTTCAGCATTCAGTTAAAACTCATCTCATTTTATTATAAAGCCAAAATTCTGACAAACATTTTGTTGATTATTTTCAGTTGTCCTTGGTGTCTCTTTTCATGCAGCATTGCAAAGAAACCACTGCAGCATACTTCCATGTAAAATCACTTATCAAATAATTTAAAATAAACTATTGAAATAGAAGCATTTTCATACCTAAAAAAAGCATATCATGTAAGATTGTACGAAATCACCCAAAAGATTTACAGTCTGTGTAAACTTAGAGAATTGAACAGGGATATTGCCTTGGCATAACCTTAAATTAAAAAAATTCTACACCTGAAGGCACGGTTAATTAAAGAAAATGTCCTCCTACCAATGAACTGAAATTGATGATTCTCTTCACTGTACGGTGCCCTGCTGGAGGTCTGCTATGCTGACGTGACAGCTGAACGAGAAATGCTCAGTTGAAATTTGCAGCAGGGCTGTTGCTGAGTGGTGTTTCTTTTCAGGAATGAAATGCAATATTTATCAATGTGTGATTATTGCTGATCTGAGGGAATTACTGCTTGAAGGTCAGTGATTCAAAAAGAAAAATATGTATTTCCAACATCTTGTCATGTAGGGTTTGGGGTTCAACTTTAATTGTAAGATCCAAGTCAATCACCATTGTCGAATAACTTTGAGAGAGCTAATCTAAAGTTTAGTTACCCTGATTAATTACAGGACCATCCCAGGTCCAAATGTTTCCACAAACTTAACAGAATTTATTAAGTTTATCATAAGTACAAAAGAAATAACCACTGCTTTTATTAAGTGTTTTCAGTCCATCCTCTTCAAGACGCTAACTTGTGACACTGGTCGACTGGGCACAGGTCTCTTGTTCAGTTCCACTGATTGAAGTTGTTCTGTATTTGACCTTGCTTCTATATAAAATCATTAAAAACCGGTTCTTTTTGTTTTCTGATGAATGGTCTAGGCCCGAAACGTCAGCCTTCCTGCTCCTATGATGCTGCTTGGCCTGCTGTGTTCATCCAGCTCTACACCTTGTTATCTCATATTAGCCCTTGTTAGTTTGTTAATCAGAGGCATCCTGAACATCTAATTATTGTGGTGTATGAACAACTCATAGTCATTCTTGGAATGGGAAGGTAGTATATGCATAATTCCTGAGCACTTTCTTTGAAAGTAATGGTCACTTTAATAATCCCGCTTCCCACTGTCACTTGATTCATCCTTTGACGTGCCAAGCACTTTAAGATCATTCCTTTTATAATAATTCATCTCCCTTAGCTTAATAATTCCATAGATCTCTATTGAGATAAGGTGATACCAGTGAGTCAAATTTACCCATTTGTCAGCTTAAAGTATGCAGTGTCACCTTCTCGTGATTGATTTTCACCCCAAGTGTCCCACCTTACACATCTAAAAAGTCAAAAGAACATTTTTTTTAAAAACACTCGTGTCCTCAGTAATAGCTTTTTACCACAAAGCATTCTCACACTTTAGCCTTATCTATAAAACAGCAAATAAAACTAGAGCTAGTTTGATTGAAATTCTGCAAGGAATAGGTGATTTTTTTTCAAGTTTAGATATTCCATTTTTGAAGTTACTTGAAATAATATCCAGGTACTACTTAGTGGTATGGTGTTCTGGCTATAACTCAAATGCCTGACTGGAAAGAGCATACCTTTGTTGAATGGGCATACTTATTTACAAGTAGCCTGAATATTGGTCCTACAAGTCAAAGCAATAAGTTAAATGGCTCACTGACTTGATAGATGAACCTGCAAAAGCAATGCATCGTGAATAGTGTAGGAGCTATGCTCTGGCATTGAGAACATTTTATTTTGTGTGGGTGGTTGGAAGTGCTTTACAAGTTAATCAGTTATAACAACAGATCCAGAGTACTACAGGGATTCCCTAATCTTCAATGCACTGCCTGCCCACACTCTGTATGCGTTGCAAATAAGATGCCCTGACGAATTTTAAACTGCATCTTTGGTAGTTCTTTTTATCTTATAGTTTCTTTACAGATGGAATACCCCAGGATGCAAGTCATTAATGTACTTGGGTGCTGTGCCACAAAATGGGCAGCCTGAATGCACGTCTTTTGCAGGATGGCCTTTTGATTTTATTCAAACAAAGTTCCTTGTTTTCGGGAAGGAAAATTAGGCAAACAGTGTAAGGAATTCAGGCAAGACCCATACAGGTGCTTGGAAATAGATTGCATGTTTACATTCTGACTCGGGAACTGGTAGATATTATCCAGAAGATTTTCCAAACAGATGAGAGAAACTCAAGTAGAGCAAGAGGAATATAAAGGATTCCAGAAAATCTGCAACGTGAAAGACCAGCAAAAATTATGAATGGTGCAGCAGCAGTTTAAGATATATGTATTGTATTGATTAATTTCATAAGTTGCATTATTTCAGTTTAGAATTTACTAATTGCTGATTCCAGGGGTTAATTGTGTGCACTGTCCTGGATTGAGAACAAAGGTACCACTGGTAAAGTGGATAACTTAATTTTCGGAACATTTGAAATATAATTGCATGTAGAGGACCTTCCATTGAACAGACGGCAAAAAGGTGACCAAGTTGACGGACGTAGCAGGGAGATGATGGTGCATTGGTAATATCATTAGACCCAGAGATAATGCTGGTGACAGCTGGTGCAATTCAAATACAAATTAATAAAAATGTAGAATTGAAAGTTAGTCTCCATGCTGATAGTTTCATGGCTATCTTTGTCATAAAATCCTTTCTAGTTCATTAATGTTCTTTGGAAAAGAAATCTATCATCCTCTCCTGGTCTGGCCTACATTGATTCACAGCAATGTGGTTGATTTTTAACTGCTCGGAAATGGCTGTAACAAGCTATTCCAATCAAGGATGACTAACAGGCGCTTTCAAGCAAATCCAGCTAAGTAGAAGGAAAAGAAATGTGAGCATTCCTTGAAGTCATTAAGAGACCAGATGTCATGCACGTGATGCTCACATTCTGTAAAATAGCCTTTCTAAAAATTTGTTACTGTGGCATCCATGATAATTTTAAAATAAGGAAATGGGCAGTAGTGTAAGGAAATGCATGAACCCAGCAGTTGAAAGAACAACTCGATTTGTGAAATTGATTTGAGAAAGCTTCAGTAGCACTGTCTCAGTTGTGTAGTGACCCATTTTCCTTGCTATATGTAGGAAAGTTTTGCACAACATTGCAGATAGTGCAGGAAAATTAACAAGATCTTCTTAGTGTAGATTGGGATTTGCTCTAACTATGTATTATATCAAAATTAACTGCTTTTATTAACCAAATGGTTGTCATATTTTACTCAAAACATCAAATGCTTGCAAATTTCAGATTTTCAGTCAAAATTTTTGGATCAGCACATTTAGACATTAGAATGTCAACACCAGAACTCCGCTTAATAGGCTCTACAGGTAGCAGAAAATGTCTTATGGGATGTTTAAACTTCAACACAGTTTGTATTGCTGTTAATCCAGTGGTGTATCTGCTTTTTCTTTTCAGGTGCTGGCATGGTTGTAGACTGGGAACAGGAGACTGGTCTCTTAATGACTTCAGGAGATGTTCGCATTATTCGTATCTGGGACACAGACCGAGAGACAAAAGTACAGGTAAAAACTGCTTACACAAATTATCTTACCAATTAAAGTCACTGGTAACGAGGCAGTTCAAATTTTGTGCTGCAATTAACCCACCAGGGATATGCACAGCTTGCTTTTATTAAATGTTGCTGATTCATAAGAGTTCTTGAGATTGATGTTTGTTCAAACAGGACTGCAACAGATGCCCAACAAGGAGATCTTCAAAGACCAATTTTGTTATTGTTGCTTAAGGTGAACATGTGACTGTCTGTTCAGGGTGGCCTTTGTTCCTGATAGGTGTCCATACTCTACAAAAGCACCTCTGTTGGCCAGCAAGCAGATTCTGAGAATGCCGTAGACCAAAGACATTAGCTTCAAGGGTAAAATCCTTCAACTAAGAATTCTGTTGCAGAAAAGATATGTTTGTCATGAATCCATGTCAGACATAGTAGGTCAAAAACTAATACATTTTCATGAACTTTGTTCTCCAACATATGCAGTATTAACATGGCAGCTCAACTTCTAACATTGATTTTCTGAATTAAAAACCTTGGGAACACTTCTATGTTTCTCACATGGTATTTTGGAGATGGGCAGAGCATTTATTTAGGGAGATTGGTGACATGCCTGAACCCCATATTCTGCCTGCCTCTGCCAAAATAAAGTCAGTGACAGGCAGGTCCATGGTCAACCATCTAAATCCATGCAAATTGAGTTCCTTACATGACCAATTAAAAACTGCTCAAGGGCCTCAACCCACTGCCACTGGTATCAACCCAGGGAAAAGTCCATGTGCATGTCAGGTTGAAATGTGCGACCTTGTGGGGTGCTGTGAGAACCATTGAGATGCAATGCCATAGCCTTGCTGCTTACATCCATACACTCTTCACCCCGTGACTTGTACCCTGCTGTCCCACAAAACGCCTTCCACTATTACTTACCTATGGCCTGGGAAGATTCTCAATCTTAGGTCCTTTGCAGATGTGCTTCCAGCAGCAGCAGTCAGGGTCTCTCCATTGATCCTGCTGCCCAGAGGAGTTGGTTGGCCACTGAATGGCCAGTCGCCCTCAATGTCTCTCATCTCTGCCCCCAGGGTACTCACTGTCAGAAAAGACCCATCACTGGCTAACTTAAGTGCCTGAGTGGCATTTAATGCCAATGGGCCTTCCCAGAGGAGACAACTTAGGTCTTTTTTTGGGTCTTCAGTCAGCAGCTGAGACCCGACGCCTCCATAAAATCCAGTCCCTTTTCTCAAATTACAAAACTTAGGCAGCATGTTGGAATGCCAGGTACTGTGTTTAATGTATGAGGTGTTGCGTTCCTATGGACTAAGCACCCAGTACATTTTGTACACTCAAAGTTGTATCTGACTGGGTCTCAAAACTATTTAAACTGCTTTGGATTCCCCTAGTGTATCTGCTTTGTATTCTTATCTTTGTAGCAGTATTCCTGTTGCATGTATTGGTTTGTTTTGTTCTTGGGAATTTTTGTCAAATATGTGGGTTCCAGTTGCTTACTGTAAAACTTGTGGGAAATATTCTATAGTCTAATAGGATTTTGATACATACCTTTACAGCTAAACCTGTGACAATAAATCATGTTCACAGCCTGCATGTTTCTCTTTCTAAACACCAGTTGGCTGTTCTAAAGCCTTGGCAACCAGAAGGAAAAAAAAATTTAAAGCTGCAATAGTTTCCAGTTGTTGATCTGTTTGATCGTGATTTAATGCTGTAATTGGTGCCCTGTTTAATGTTGAATTAATAAAGCAATAGAGCAGTTTGCTGTGTTGTTTTATCAGTTCTTGCCTGATGGAAACCCCTTCACTTCTTTTTGTTTTGCAGTTACCATTCATGATAAACCTTTATAATGTTGGTTTGGCCTCAATGGGGCCACTGTGTGCAATTCTGGACAACATACTTAATGAAGAATGCATGGGTTTTACAAGGGGTCCAGAAAAGATTTACAAGAATGGTGCTGGGTTTGAGGGTCATCAGTTGCTTGGGCAGATTGAAAACGCTGATATCCTTGGGAAAGAGAAAGTTGAGAGGAGGCTTAATTGAGGTGTTGAAAATCACAAGGGATCTGGGCAGAATAAGCGGGAGAGAAATTGTTCACGTTGGTTGAAGGAGCTTCACAGTGTAAAGTCACAGATTTAAAAAAACCATCAGTATCACCTGGCGAAGATGCAGTGCTCCGAAAGTTTGTGATTTTAGATAAATCTGTTGAACTATAACCTAACGTCATGTGACTTCTGACTTTGTCCACTCCAGCCAAATACCGGCACCTCCACATTTCAACGATGTCAAAGGAAGGTTTTTACAGAATAGTTAGATTGTAAAAGCTGCATCTTTTTATTTGGCCTTTATTTTGATTGTGAACTGAATTGGGAAAAGGACTGTTTCAAAGTCAAAGATTGTGGAAGGAATTGCTGCACTTTTAGAAACCAAGTTACTGGACCTCATTGTGAATTGTGTTTACACTGCTGCTTTGTTTGAGCAGTGGGGAAGAGAGATGTGACAATGTGGCATCATGTGTATGTGTGCAAAGTGAGGTTTGGTTGGCAATAGACTGCAGATTGGTTTGTACAAATGTGACCCTTTGTGGATGTTGGAAGTTGAGAGACAGTTCTCTGGCTTCTGGGCTGGTGAACAACTTGGGTATTTACCGTAGAGGGGGTGAAGTCTCCAGACTTCAGCGAGAGCAGATCCTATGTCTTTACTTTTCTTCAGTATCTGAAGCATGAAAAAAGCCAGTTATTTTCTCCCACCAGTTGCTGTAAGCTGTTGTCTTTTACCAATAATTAGCGTACCAATTGCCCTGTAGCTACTGCGCAGAAGTGAAAGAACCTGAAGAACAATAAGTCTTGGGAAGCAACATAAACATCTCATCAAAACCTGTGAACTGGTGCTGTTGAACTATTTCCCCAGTTTCTTTCACTCTACCCAAGGCACCAATGTTTTTATTTTGTTTGTGTCTGTGTGTTGTAGGGGTTTAAAAGGGGGTTAGGGTTTCAACTAGTAGAGCAATATGTTGAAAATTCAGAGTTGTAGCCACAGGTAAACAAAACTATTTGGCATAAACACTTACTCTTGTTAAGTGTGATGTTTTCTGTTAACCTGATTCTATCAGACAGGCAAATTGGGGATCTGGTGTATTTTGACTAAATCAGTAACTTTTTGTGGCGACCTAAGGGTCGTGGAGCTCAATCATGTGTGAAGCATCTTCACCAGAAGTGTGATGAAGTGAACAATTAGTCTTGGTCTCCTCCTGACATTGCAGTTTCACAGATGCCAGCCTTCAACTAATTCGATTCACTCATGAAACAGCTGAGAACGCTGAAAACCACAAAGCGCACGGGCCCTGACAACTTTCTAGAAATAGTGCTGAAGACTCCAAATGCAGCTGCACCTCGAGCAAAGTTGTTCCACTATAGTTTCAAGACTGGCACCAAGACATTTCTCTGGTATGTCCCAACTACACAAAGTGATGGATAATAGCATCAACAGCACTAAGAACCGGCCCTTACTAAACAGTGACTTGTTCATTGATGTTCCATTTGGATTTTGTCAGATCTACTAAGGTCCTCATCTCCTCTTCATCTTGGTCCAAACATGGACAAATTATCTAAACTTGAATGGAAAAGCAATGATGACTACCCTTGCTTTAAATACAACACTTCACCAAGTCTGGCCTAGTAGAACCCTAGCAAAACTGCAGACAGTGGGAATTGGAGAAAATTCTCCACTGGTTCAAGCCATACCTAATACACAGGAGGATGGTTGGGGTTATCAGAGGCTAATCACCTTATTCCAGGAGCATGTCTGCAGGAGTTCTCTGGGTCATGCCCAAGACCCAATCAACTTCAGCTGTTTTGTCAATGACCATCCCTCTATCATAAGACCAATACCATTAGCAATTGCTCAGATATTGTAACAGTCCATGTGAATATGGAGCAATGCCTGGACCATTGGCTGATCAGTGGCAAGTAACATGCATGCCACACAAGTGCCTGGCAGTGATCACCCCCAACAAGAGAGAATGTAGTCATCACCACTTGGTACTCAATGGCATTAACTTTGCTGAATCTCTCTCTATCATTTTCCTTTGGGTTACCTTTAACCAGAGACTGAACTGGAACATCCAAATAAATACTGAAAGCGCAGGAGCAGGTCGGAGATTGGGAATTCCATGGTGACTAACTCACCACCTGTCTCAGCAAAGCCTGCCCCACCATCGACAAGGCACAAGTCAGGAGTATGATGAAATGCTCTTCACTTTCCAGGATAAGAGCAGGTCCAGCAACACTTAAGAAGCTTGACACCATCCAGGAAAAAGTGGCCTGCTTGATTGCCATTCCACCTAATATTTTCAATGTTCACATCCTCTATCACCAATGCACAATGGCAGTTGTGTGTGCTATCAACAAGATGCATTACCACAGCTTAGACCAGTGCCACTCAAATCCTCAACCACTTCCATCTGGAAGGACATGTGCAACAAATGCATGGGAACTGCACCATCCTGACTTGGAACTGTATCACCTTTCCTTCAGTGTCGCTGAATCAAAATCATGGAGCTCCCTCCATAACAGAACTGTTGCTGTAATGACACTACATGGACTGCAGCAGTTCAAGAAGGCAGCTGCCAATCACTTTCTCACAGGCAGTAAGGGATAGAATTAAATGCTGGCTGAGCTAGCAATGTCCACATCCCATGAATGAATGAATTAAAAATTAGATTTCCTTCGTATTTGGTGCACTGCCACTTGCTTAAACATGTCAGCAACAATCCTAAATGTTAGGACATTTTTACCAATTGGTTTTCCTTCATCAAACAACCACAATCACTGGCTTAAGAACGTCTACAGTCACAAAGATTTTTGTATATTTACAATTTTTAGAAAAATTGTGTTCTGGAGGGTTGTAGAAAAATTTATTCATATCAAATTTTATGCAAATACCTGGAGCGAATATATCATTGAAAGGTCTTTATGAACTTTGGAGGTGTTTAAAAATGTCATCCTAGATATCATGTAACTTGTGATAGCTCTGCTGTAGATCCCAACGGAGATTGTTGTGATGTAAGGTTTCTGATTGATATACATTTTAATATCATTATTTTTAGAGTTTACATTATGAACTAGTGCCATGTGAACTTTGGTTTGTGTGTATGTATAATAATTGTCAGTACTTCCGGAGGTGTTTTTTTAAAACAGTATGAGAGAGGGGGCTCTCTTGGGGTGACAACAGAAATTTGGTTGCATTAGGAAAGTTTCACAGCAGACAGAATAAATGTGAAAGAACATTAGCTTGCTATTTTAAGCATTAGTTTACTCTTTAAGCATTAGTTTAAATTGTATTAGTTAGAAAAATCAGGAATTGATTATTTTTTTGCTAATGGGAAAATCCCATAGTTTGAAAAGCCTTTGTTTTCAATTTGTAGGTGTCTTGATTGAAGTTAAATGTATGCAACAGTTTCTCCAAGAGAAAGCTGTTAGTTCAGAAAAGTTAGAAAATAAGTTACCTCAGTATAAAGGTTTTCAGTTGAAAATTCTAGACCAGAGTGTTTGATTTGAACCAAAGGGGTTATTTGAAGCTAGGAAAGTTTTAGGTTCGGTTGTGTGAATTCTCATTGAAGAGGCTGGAGAACAGAATTCTCTCTCACATTTGAGTATTATAAACTGATTGTGTTAGGGTAGATTGGATTATATTTTACCATGTGTTTTGAAATTATATAAATTGGTGTTTATATGCAAATATTTAGTTATATTTTACATTTATTTTAGTTCGATTTCTATTTTGATTTCTTTTGCATAATAAACTTTTGTTTTATTGTTAAGATCACATCAGCATTGCATATTTGTCTTTCACTGAAAGTCCACCTATTTTAAATTAAATTAAACTAAAACAAAAATGATCTATCGAGCCGGGTTTCAGTCTGGACTCTTGACATGTTTGATAATAACATAAGCTGGGATTGAAACAGTACATTCATCCTCAGTTCATTGGGGACAAGAAGCCTGTGAGGATTGGCTGCTCTATTTCTGAAATAACCCTATTGTTAAGTTCAGGATGAAACTTATTTCACCTTCCAAAAGTGTGGTTGGAAGAACTTCTCAATATTATATTCCCTGAGCAAGCAGTGTCTGAAAGATTCCAGAGACAACTTTTCTTACTAATGATTTACTTTATGTCCAATTCAAAATTGTCTGCTTTGGATGTGTGCTTAAGCAAATGATGTCATGCCTGTCTGAATAGCAGAATCTAGTGCAGCAAGAAATTGAAGTCTGAACCTTTTAACTGAATTATGAAAGCAAGTATAAATTTTGGGTGATTGTGACTGATAAAGTTTCAGTTTGCTTCTTTCTAGCAATGCAGTATAGATCGATATTTTCAATCCAACTTCGAATTCACATGGATTCAAAAATATGGAAAATTTGAAAACTGCAAAAGGTTTAGAATTACTCGGGCACTGTGAAAGCCTTTTCAAGACTGAATAAGTAGTACCCCCGGATATGTGTTCAAACCATCGTAGAAAGCATAGAAACTGAGGGGTTGTACACTATTCGGCCCTTTGAGCCTGTTCCACCATTCAGTGTGGTCATGGCTGATGCTGTATCTTCCTGCTTTCTCTCCATACCCTTTTGTTGTTGGAACAAATAAAAGAAAACACTTGAATTTATATATTGCCTGTCAACTCTTAGGACATTGCAAAGCTTTTCATAACCAATGAAGTATTTTTGAAATTGAGTCCCCTGTGTATGTTGTTAGTTATATGCCACTGTCTGTCTCAACATGGATACTTGTTCTTCTGCTTTCTGGCCGTACTCCTTGAGTGCTATCCGGTCTTTATAATATCATTTTCAAGGGCTGGTGTTGGTTCTTTCCACATTTTACGCTTTGTTTTTAATTCATGGATTGTGACTCGCTGTCGACCCTGATAACCTGGTATGCAAATACCTGGAGTCGGTACTGTGGTACAGTGATTTCACAAAAGTCGTTGGCCATATTTTCCTTTGAACATAAGGGGTTACTGAGTTTAGTCCTTTCAAAGGATAGAAATAAGATTAAACTCTGTAGAGTTACCTCCAGTGTCCTGCTCGACATACCTCCCTCAACCAGTAGGACCACACATTAAGATTAGTTGATTGTTCATTTCATTTGCTGTTGTGGAACCTACTGAGCACAAAGTGTCATCCACTCTTTTTAATTTTAAAATAATAGTGACCATCTTTCAAAGTTCTTCATTCTTTTGAAACTTCCTGTGAATCTGAAAGGCTGTATTTAAAAATATGTTCTGTTTTCTATTTGATGTCACCATCCTTCATTTCTTAACATCAAAAAATATCTTGTTTGTTCTGTAGGATATTCCAACTGGGGCAGACAGTTGTGTGACCAGTCTTTCCTGTGATTCTACTCGTTCCCTAATTGTTGGTGGCCTTGGAGATGGCTCAGTCCGCATCTACGATAGGAGAATGGCTCCGAGTGAATGGTAGGTTTCAATTCAGTTGTTTGTTTTAAATCTTTCATCCACATCGTGGAGTGCAACTAAGTGATTGGAATTTAACTTGCACTGATACCAGCAGAACCTGGAGTTTCTGGAGAGAATGTTGCTTCTGATCATTACCAAAAGTTGAAATGTAGATTAAAGTGCCCATGTTTTCTAGCCATTAATGATCTAAACAGGTGGCTCATACTAGTGGGGAATGTGAGGTGCTCAGATTAATCCTTCTTCTAAACTAATTGCTTGTGAGTAAGTTTCGGTATACCCCGCAACTCTTTGCATGCTGTTCACTACTGTGGGACTTTTCCGCAGAATACTTGTCTTGTTTTATAGTGGCCAGGACACTGCCTGCTGTAGAAATTCACATTGCAGTATTAGCTTGGTGCCAATTGGCTTTATCAGCATGAAATTTTACCCCATGATTTCAGAAACTGGCATTGCTTTTCACAAATTTTCTTTGTTTAAACAACAAAGATTGGTTATGTTGTGATCTGATCTAAAAATTAGCAACTTCTATTTGATAAATTGAGCAAGTTTTTTTAGCCACACTGATTCTAGAGAAAGAAGATTGCTGCAGAAGAATTCCTTTGAAACAAATGCCTTCATTGTATTTTATATTCAATGGCATTTGAAATCTATTTTCTATTAGCTAACTGCATGCTTTATTCTAGCATTTGTTTTGTTTAGTCAATACAATATTTAATTTTTATGTTTGTTCTGTTCGATATATCTCATTCAAATAATCTTAGAAGTTTACTTCAGAATGCGAAAGGGTAATGGTGAAATTCAACAGAGTTTGAAAGGTTACAGAGCCCAGCTGTATGGAGAAAATGGAATTGAAAGCAGTAGGTAGTAATTGAGGCAGGGTGATAAACCCAATTCAGCTCCGTACAGCTGTGCAAAACCAGTTGTATCACAAGATAAGCAAGCCATGGTTAAACAGGAAGGTGAATCATAATTCTTCAGTAAAATTTCTTCTGTATCTTAAGGGCATCGCAGAACACTTTACCCCTAATTAATTGTTTAAAGTGTGGTCATTGTCATTGCTTGGATGAACAATGACAAGGCTAAGATTAATAAACACCTAATAACTTCCGATGATACTAGATGGGGAAGACACGGGCAGAGTTCCGCTGCTGCTCTTCAGGGAGCATCATTTCAAATACCCAGCGCAGGCAGCTTGTACCTCAGTCTAACTTTGTTTCTGAAAACCACCGCCTGTGACAATGCACACTCCTTCACTGGTCAGTTTATGCACGCTGTCTGTGAACTGAATAAAGCCAGAGTGCTAGCTTTGAACCAGGCTAATGGCAGTGATAAGTCCAGTTTATGTTTTTAAAACTCCAGGAGATTCGGGTTACAATTTTTTAGTTTTCTCTCGTATGGTTAAACAATATATGGTTTTCTTAATTTTCTTTTGGAACAGCTGTGACTGAGCAGTACAGTCCATGACACTACTATCCTTTCATTCTGATCCAAAGTAAAAAAGAGAACACAGGAGCAACCCCTCTCCCTGGCATTTATAAGAGTTGGAAATGAAATTCATTTGCTTAAGATTTAACTCCAGTTCTTGTTGGACACAATTCCACAACAGTGCTAAGTGACCAGTTTTTCTGGCATGCTGTAGACTAACAGATTAAAATATAACCATTTGAAAGATTGAATGTTTAAGGTCCATCTTGGGGGCAAATATTAGGCATATGATACTACATCTAGGTAAGTTATGCCTGACCTGAGAATAATTAATGTTAACACTGGGTACTAAATATGGAACTGTTGCAGTCATTAGCTTTAATATTTGTTCCGCCCTTGGTGAGTGCAGTATTTTGTATTCTTTGCCTGTGAGGTGGAATTGTGCCCTGGTTATTGACATGGATTTTGTTTTACAGCCGTGTAATGACTTACAGGGAGCATGCTGCATGGGTGGTAAAAACCTATCTACAGAAGTCTCCTGAAGGCAATATCATCACTGTGAGGTAATAAAGGATTGATATTTCAATACTGTTTATTTAGAGTTGAATTACCTACTGGAACTGTAAAGATATATCATGTGTAGACACAATTGCATTCATGATGTGTTTTGTGTTTGTAATATATTATATATTATATTATATATTATTATTAAGTTTGACATGAAGCTAATGATTAATTAAAATACCTTCAGTTTTTTTAATTGAAATAAGTCACCATTGCAGGGAGGTGAGATCTTTGTTTTTCAATTGAATTTTGTTATCACAGTAATATGTCACAGAAGAAGCTCATGCATAACCCAGTAAATGAATGACAAAGTTAGTGAAATATTAAGTGTTCTATTTGTTATATTTTCTTACCACCGTAATATGTTCCATTTCTTGCATGTTGTCTTACTCTGAGTAATTTGTGCCAGTTTAATGTGCTCTTCTCTGTTCAATTAAGTGTAAATGGAGATGTGCGATTTTTTGATCCACGGATGCCTGAATCAGTGAATGTAATTCAGACTGTAAAAGGATTGACGGCTCTGGACTTTCATCCACAAGCAAATCTGTTTGCTTGGTAAGTGAATTCAAATAGTCAGCACGGAAAATATTATTTTTATCAGGAGAACTGACTATCTTGGGGCTTTATCCACTCTACATCTGTAGAGCATAAATACTTATATGGTAATGTTAACTGCAGTTCTAATCTAACCTCAATTACCTTGTCCTAGTTCCTAATTCAGCTCTTAGTTCTCCTGTCATAATTATAGTCCTCATTACTGATTGGTCTGACATGACAGTATTACGTGAAGAATGAGCACTGGTTTAGAATATGGTCTGTTTACTTCGGAATAAGTTTCAATCCCCAAGTTCCAATGGCAGTCAAGAAGCTTGACACCATCCAGCTTGATTGGCACCACATCCACAAACATCCACTCCCTCCACCACCAACGCTCGTACGCAGCACTGTGTACCATCTACAAGATGCACTGCAGAAATTCACCCAGACTCCTTAGACATCACCTTCCAAACCCATGACTGCTACTAGACAACAAGGTGCAGAGCTGGATGAACACAGCAGGCCAAGCAGCATCATAGGAGCAGGATGGCTGACGTTTCGGGCCTAGACCCTTCATCAGAAATGGGGGAGGGGAAGGGGGTTCTGAAATAAATAGGGAGAGAGGGGGAGGCGGATAGAAGATGGATAGAGGAGAAGATAGGCGGAGAGGAGACAGACAGGTCAAAGAGGCGGGGATGGAGCCAGTAAAGGTGAGTGTAGGTGGGGAGTTAGGGAGGGGATAGGTCAGGCCAGGGAGGACGGACAGGTCAAGGGGGCGGGATGAGGTTAGTAGGTAGGAGATGGGGGTGCAGCTTGAGGTGGGAGGAGGGGATAGGTGGGAGGAAGAACAGGTTAGGGAGGCGGGGACGAGCTGGGCTGGTTTTGGGATGTGGTAGGGGGAGGGGAGATTTTGAAGCTTGTGAAATCCACATTGATACCCGAAGGTTGCAGGAACAGCAACTCATATTCCGCTTGGGAACCCT